AATTAAACAGAAACCTTGAACACTTTGACTTCAACACTTCAACATTAATATCAACTACATCTCTGAGACATTCACACATCTTCAAACCTACTTGATCTTCTTGATCACTATGAATACTCGAGATATGTTCAGTTCACACGATAGATTCATAATTGTTCACAGACATAACTGATAAGTTCTTGACCGACAATAATTAACAATAATGTATTATTTCAACAGTTTCTAGATGCATAGGCTAGGACCCCGGAAAGCTCCTGGAGAACAAACCGTCCTCGATCCATTCCGGCCCCGGCCCTCACACTTTCACTATTTGCCCCGAGGAGAGGTGGGTTAACATGGATTTCTCGGTGGTAGGAGAAGCGCCTTGATCAGGGCTCTCGATTACATATACTTTCAGTTTTGTACCACGTGTAACCACCGAGATATCCGTATGTAAGTACCCGACCCGAGCCGGTATGGATTTTCGTCGGTCTGGGGGGGCAAAAGTTACAAATCACACATTTCCCAAGCCACCAGTCATGTTCAGGGTCAGACATGTGTACCATCTGATAGCCCTCGTTGAGGCGCATCTTTTGCACCTGTCACATCTCTGGTACCATGTGACATGACTTCACAAAACACCGGTATCCGAAAACCCCCTCAGGACGGTTTGTTCTCCAGGAGCTTTCCAGGGTCCTCATAGGCTGCTATTAGCCTACGCCAATCTGTGATCGAACGCAATAGAGTACAAAAATTCGTATGAGACGGATGTTAACAGATGTTTTAACTCGTTGAAAAGATCAGATTAATTGTTGAAGAGTTGGTCACACATACTCGTTCCAGAACCTGGTCCACCTTCATTTATCCAACTGATAACCGTGTCTGTATTTGAACCAAATTGGTCCTCCCGGTATCTGAATGGGTATGTTGTCATGTCAGCAATGAGCTTTGAAACCGGTCTACTTGTGTCCCCTAAATAACCCATCACGAGGATAGGTGAAAGTGATAACAAGCAAGCTAAGAATAATCTGATTTTCATTGTATAGAGGTTTGGTTGAATAAGTTAATAGGTTTACGTTGAAGTAATTTGATGACTCAAGCAAAAGTGATTGATGGTTTGGTTTTCAAATGAGTGTATGTTTGGAGAGTGTTGTTGATTAATGATGATGAAGTCAAAGCAAAAGAAGCTGAGTGTGCATGGGGGATAATCCTCCCTCTGTCAGCAGTATTCATACCCGTTCCTGGCGTGTGGTCATTGATGATGAGTCGTGTAAAGCTGGGGGCACCACCACGGTGTTCGCACTACCCCTCAAATTGTAAGGGAGAGAGTCGGGAGTCTAATCCACTATTATAATTATCACCAATGTCAGACGCTAGCTAATATCACTGGGCAAATGTAGTATTTTTCCCAAGTGAAAAATGATTGACCTGAAGGACAAACAAAATTGAAAAAGGTGGAATTCTGCATTCATTCTTCATGTGCATTAACACTGCATTTTTCTGCATTGATGCTGCATTTTTTTTCATTAATGGCGCATTAATGGTGCATTTTTATGCATTAACATAGCATTTTTAATCATTTTTGACATTAATTCTAATCATTTTGCATAGCCGAAAAATACTACATCTGTGCAGTGTATGAGTCGAGTAGATGCAAGTTGTAACACCCTCATGCCGTTTCGACAATAAAAATCTATAATGCTAGCTATCTTTGATATGCAACTTTGCCATCATCCTAAAGTTGAGCTCAAGTTCCATGTGATGTAAGTCTGACTCAGGAGATTTTCACCTGAAAAACAGCATTAGAGGAGGGAAAACCAAGTTTGTCAAAATCATGTTAGATATGAAATATGCAGAAAGGTTGTGCCTTGCGCACCGTTGTACGCTTCAGATTAAGTACCCGAAATATGATACCATACGTCTTGAGTTGTGAAGGAAAGAGCCAGGAGACCTTACTATTTGAGTGTTTTAAAAATTCACTAAATAAATGATAGACCCAGTCCAATCTTAGTCTTCCTCGCAAAAACGAGCGAGAGGGAGTTCGGTATTTCAAACGTTAGTGGAGTTTGACACGGGGTTCAACTTCAAGTCGGCCAAAAAGTCAGGAATCACCTGTTTTCGTCTCGACTATGAAAATATCTAGAAAGTTAGCAACGGTTCCTTTTGCCATCAAATCAAGCTGAAACAAGAATTTATATGATACGTTGCTGCTTTAGCCTCGGTGTGATAACTTGCTTTGTGATGGCTAGTTGAGAGGTCTGCTAAGAATGTCTCAAGCCACTTTTCAAGGATGGAACTCCTCGGGCTCAGGACGAATCTCTCTTTGAAGTTGCTGGTCTTGGATCAGAAAGATACACCACACTGGTCGTCTCGGTAGTTTCCTAGTAGAGAGGCAAGTGGAAGGCAGATATCAAGATGGAAGATAGCCATAGGACAAGTCTGTATTTCTACAGGACTAGGTGATACGGCCAAAGCAAAGATGACATCAGGGAGGTTTCCGAGCCTTCACTGCAGTCATCGCCGTTAGGAAAGCCAGATCCGCCCTCTTTCCGGTGTACTTTCGATTCCCATTCCTCACTTCAGTGACATCTTATGGATTAAAGCATCAGAAGGATAGATACTTTTCAGGTCAGCAGATTTGTTTCTGGAGATTTTATAATCAAGTCTTCCCTCGATTCCCTCGTTAACTTTGACTTTCTATCATCATATCACTACCATCTGAGTTGTCACTTGAAGTTGACCCCTTAGTAGCGCGTTCCTCCATTTTCTTGCCCGGTTCATCTTCACTGCTTGTTCAGTACACTTTAAAGCATTCATTGAGGATCATTTACATGCGACCATCACATCTCCATGAAACAATTTACTCGTGAAAAAATACGAGAACGGACACGTGAAGCTGGAATTGGACGCGTCAGGATTTCAGCAATAGTCAATTATGTAGCTACATGATTGAGGTATTCAACATGTAATGCTTATCTAATTTTCTTTGGTGATTGATGCTGTGTACATATAATTGTGATTGCTGTTGGTGAGCAAAGTTATGACGTAGTGGTATGATTACTAATCTCACCAAGTAATGAGATCACGGTTTTGGATCTAACATATGACGTGGTCAACAAGAGTTGATGAGATGTTGGTCAGGTTTATAAACAGAGGCTTTCTAGCAGATTCCTTTCTTTCTCTTTCTCCATCAAATCCTTATCATCACATTCAAGAAACTTTACTCGTTTTCAATCCTCACTTTGCCTTGTGGCTGTATATCCCACAAGAAGTGCACAAGACACATGTCAATCTGAGCGTATTCCAGCTTTCCAGCCTCGTCATGCTTTCGGCATTGCTGAGGATACATTACTGGTAGCATGAACCAAATTGGGTAGATATATTATCCAATAGGTCAACAAAAACCATCTCCACGTCTAAAAGCCGATCGAATCATGGCCTAAGACTATAGAAACAGAAAACAAAAACCGGTCATTCATGGTCAACAACACGATCTTACGGATTTGAGCAAATAATCCTCATCATCTGAGGAAATGATCTGATCTCCAGACATCATCGATCCGTGGAAAACCTTGAACGAAGTCACTCAGAAGATTGAAACGTTTTCAATCTCAATGACCTTCACGATTCGCAATGTCAAGATATAATTGCTGGGGGGAAATCAGACTAAACCGCATGCAATCATGTCAATGAGCACGCACATAAACAAGTGACTATGACTTAAATTTTGCACATAGCAAACAGGAACCAATCTACAGAGTTTGTCCAGCTTTGTTCTCCAAGTACTAGACGAGTTTGAGTCATTTAAATTTTGCGCTGCGAGGCGAAAGCTCGAAAAATGAAATTATAGATCTAGAACGCAATACATTCGATTTAATCGGTTGGTATGTTGATCGAGATTCAATCTTATTGGTGTTACCTACCAATCATAAATTTCATGTTTTCAGGGTGAGAACAGGTGAAAAAGAGGCCAAGATTGGAGATTCGAGAACTTGGGGTAGGCACATGAATCCCTCACTGTAAATCTCATATCTGGTGCACTCTCTATGGTGGGCAGTGCCAAGATTCGAAAGATCAATCCCCGACTTTTTTTTCTTTTGACCCTCACTCACCTCCTGACGTCCAAAGTCACCGCGGTATAACCCTTCAAATCATTCCTCACCCCGCATCTATTCTTAGCAAGCAGAATATACACAGGCACGAGTCTCGAGGCGGCCTAACGTTAAATGATGTTAGTCTTGCTGGCGGGGATAGATGAGTTATCAACTTTATTTTTCTTCAAAGGTTCTGGATTGCAATTTAAAATCGATGATTCTGACAAAGAGTTAAGGTCAGTTGTCATGTCAAGCACTTTGAGGAAAATCCAAGATAAAATCATGTCTCCTTACATAAGATCTTTGTCTTTTCGAAACTCGACAAGCGCTTGATTGAACTTACAATCAAGTAAGGATGGTATGTAAGTAATCCGTTGAAACGAGTTGAGGAAAACTGATTAATTGACCTCTTCTGTGTTTCCGATCTTGTGGCTCTATGTTAAGTGTGAAATAAGAGGGGATATGTATGTAAGAGAGAAACCCATAATCAAAGTGTTTGATTGGAGTGTTTTGAGGTGTTTTGGGTCAAACAAAAGTTGCAAACAAAATCATCAACTAAATCTACAACTTTAAATCCTAACAAAGCATCCTTGGCTATCCTTGGGTTTGTAAACTAATAGAGTTTAACTGCATTAAATTTACACATTTCCATTCAAATTTCATCCATTGATATTGTAGTTGAGTCCATTTAAATTGATACATTAGCAGTTTGACGCTGGGTGATATATTTAAGCTTTCTACAACTTGATATTAAAAATATGATGATGGTACAAGTAAAGTGATAAGATAATCCACGGCTTAACAAGAAATGTAATTGAAACTATCCTGGAATCGTAAAGACGATCCTCAAGTCACGAATCCCCCAACAATTTTGATTTTCTCATGAATCTATAATTTACTGAAACTTCTCAAACCTCTTGAATTGAAATGAACTTACAATCTGATCAAAAATCACATTACAATCCTCTTTCAAGTGAATCTCATCATCATCAACTTATCCCTTCAAGTTCGACGTCTGTTTCAAACGATTCATCAGTAGATTCAAAGACAAAGTCGACCATCAAACGTCCCAAAACAACCAGAGCTTGGTTCGTATTGAAATTCATCTATCATCTTCATTTTCTTCAAGACTTTGATCGTCATCGTTGATAATGATAAAATAGTAACATACGATTTCTCTCCTTTAAAAAAGTGATCCATGTAGAGGTAAGAAGATCCGATGTGAAGTACCCGAGCTGGATCGGAATAATAATGTAGATCAAGCTTCAATCGTTTGCGTTCATTGTCGATTACATCAGATTAATTGTACTTGGGTTAGTTTTTCGAACGGATTTATTGAGATAAATATCTACAAGACAGATTTCAAGTTCAATGTCATTGATGTGGCTTTATTTTTTACTATGGCTTGACTTTTGATCAGTTCTTACCTATCACTGAGACTCGATTTAAACGAAAACGAAAGAATCCAAGTTTCGATTTATCCATCTCGACCCCAAGCTTTGAACCGAACCCACAAACTACTCAACATCCACTTAATCACCCAATTCTGAACAATCCATCAAGTAAATCTTTCAAAGCTTCGAATTCATGATTATTTTGCTGACATGTTTGAAACTTTTCTACTATCGGATTGGCCGACTGATGATTTCCAGTTCCACCACAACCGCAACCACCAGTTCCACCAACTTACCCTTACCCCTACTCCCAATCGCGATCACAACCACAATCTACACCACAATCGCAGATCAATTTAAACCTGAACACTAGCCAATGTAAAGATCCAAACACTACCTCCAATGAAACTACTTGTGGAAAAGCTCCGAGTTCCGGTAGCGCTATACCAACATTCATAGCTTCTGACGATAATCGAATCTATGGATCCACTTCCATGTCTCACATCATGCACAGTACTACAACCTTCCCAGCCCACAAAATTTCACAATTTGATGAACAATTTTCTCAAGCCTTTGAAACAGGTGAAACAGGTGAAGGTTATATTCGGGTGATTGGAACGGATGAAGAGGAAGAAGATGATGAAAACAGTAGAACACCAAATATAGAAGCAGATGAACCTAATCCTTCATTCGGATCCCTCTTATCACCTTTGACTACTAAAAGTCTCATCCAATCTTACTTTTCTCTTTCGGCTCGAATCTTTCCAGTTTTAAATCAAGAAGAGTTTGTAAATCAAACTTCAGTATCAGGAAGATCATCAAATGGCCATGATGGAAATGCATTACTTTACTCTGTATGTTGTGTAGGAGCAATGAGCTATAGAGTTGATCCTGTGATTAGGAAGAAATTGAGAAAAGCACTTTATCAACTGTATCGTGCTGATGATTTACTACAAAGTTCAGATATCAACACTGTGATAGTATTGCTCTTGGCCGGCTATACAGTCGAATTTGAAGGTGCAAAAGTCTCAAAGAAAGCATGGACGGCTATAGGAGCGGTACGTAAACCTTCATCTTCATCTTTGTTTTTTTCGGGCTTGGGTTTAAGATCACCTATCCAATGACCTTGACTTTCTTTCTTGTAGGCTGTCCGAATTGCTCAGAGTCTCGGAATGCACCGAAGTGGTACATTTAAGAATAGTCCACAAGAGTATCGTCGGTTGAGACGTCAAATTTGGGCATGTTGCATCATTGCCGATCGATGGATATCCGTAATGGTAAGAATGATTCCTGTTTCGAATGGATTTTTTTGTTCATCTTTCATTCAGATCAAATTGACTGATGTAAGTTTTCAAAACAGTTTGGTTTACCCATGACAATAGATCTAGCAGATTGTGATGCAATCTTTCCAGAGGAAAACTTATTGGGATTTGATGAGCATAGAGCATTAGTAGAATTATCTATTTTAGTTGGAAAAGTGGTGAAGTTGCTTTACTCTCCTAGTCTGTTACCTAACCTTGCTTGTCCTTTCTATCTCTTCAATCCTTTACACCTTTTTTCCTCTGATTCAACAGGTTTTCTAAATGTTGATCATTTTTCTTTTGATCTTTTTTTCATACAGCTGGTCTAACCAATGTCACTGATGAACAAGTCAACAGTCTACTGAATGAATTAAACCTTTGGTATGCTCGACTGCCAGATTCGCCCACAACCCCAGCCACGGCTTGGACAGCCGGTCACTTAAGAGTCTATGCTGTACCTGTCCGCTTCCTAATCCATCGACCATTTACCCAGCCTTCCAATGGAAATCCAGGGCGATTACGTTTTGCTGTTGGATCCCTAGAACTAGAGCAGATGAGAGAAGAGACTGCTGAATGCATTCGGTGGGTTGAACTCCATCCCGATTTTCTTGAGGCTTGGGCCATAGGTGCCTACTCTTTCTTTGTATGTTGCTTGACACAGGTCAGTGAATCTCCGCTTCGTCTACCTCACGACCATCTCAGTAAATATGTCTGATGGTGATGGTGGAATGATTCGGATAAAATAGTACCAAGCATACGTCAAGTTTTTCAGTCCAAGCGCACTCGAAGTTTTAGGTCGAGCCAAAGCTATCTATGAAGCAATTCAAGCACCAGAGTGTTATATTCGATTACGGACATGCGAAGTGATTAGAGCATTACATCGAGCTGCTACCCTCGCTGGTTCACATCCAATCGGTCCCTCTACGTCTACGACAACCCCATCAGACCCATCAAGAGATCTCTATGCTAATACTTTAGGTCAATCAACTCAATGGGGCGATCTTTTAAACCTAGGTAAGTTCATTACGGTTTTCCATCAGTGGTTTTGGTGAAATGATTAACTGATGAAAGATGAATCTTCTTAGATGCTTTATTTGGTCTGTTTAACAATAATCAAGCTATGATGAATGATTTAAATTTTTTAAATTTAAGAAATGAGAATTTAAAAGCCATAGAAGAAGAAGACCCAAGAAATAAAGAAATTGAAAGTTATGGAGGAATTGGATATGGAGATGGACATGGAGTCGGTGTTGGAATTGGATCTGGAGTTGGAGTTGGTGTTGGAGTTGGTGTTGGTGGAGGGTTAATTGAAAACCCTACAGAACAATTTTGGTTAGGAATGGGATTGAGTAGATAAGAAAAAAAAAGATTGATGTTCATAGAAGAGTAGAGGTTTTGTATAGGTTTTCTTTTATACATATATATATATATATATTCGTTGCTTTTTATATATTTGATGGTTCTCTTTTTGTGTTTTTGATGATTTGATAAATAAATGTACAATGAAAAATAAATGAATTTGAGTTTAAATTCATACATAAAATCATGATACCTGACACGAGTATATTCTCTATACTTTACACATGAAGTAAACTGTTCATGGTTTTATGAAAACTTCATAGCCACATTCCATAACTGTCTTTCAGGAATCAGTTGCTCTCTGCCAAAATTTGTTTCTGCAGGACCATGAAGACTGACTAGGACAAAAATGGATTTTAAAGTTTTATGAAGCATCTCCAAGAACGCTTTGTGGCCCATCAGTGACCTATAATCCAATTTGATGTATAAGTCATGCAAGTCATTTTGAATCTGCTTGAAAGTCTTCGAAGAAATTAAAACATGTACCATTTCAAGGATCTTGTCACAATATGTAACGATACATAAACATGTTGATCTCAAATCTGTGCAAATAATCTATCAATGGTGGAATACACAAGGGAATTAAAACAAACAAAAAAGAAGAGTGGTATATGGAATGGTATAGTAATCTTCCAAACCAAGCAAGATATACAGATATTCATCAAGTCAAATTATTCTATTCCAATATCATACAGAGTTAAAAAAAGAAAATGTAATTTTATCCAATCTTGCCTACGCCACATTGTGACATCTTGCGTTGCAAGACTGAGGCAGCTGGTTGTACACGTGCACCCTTTACTGCCGGAAGTGACTAAATGATATTGAAGAATTTTCAAAAGTGGAAATGGATTAATATTTTGTCACTCTCAACAGGAAAGATAAACTACTTACCCTAGCTGCGTTCAATGCAGCCGCATTGACAGCGAACTTGTAGGGTGCACCAGAAGGTGCCCTCGAAATCAAGTTCGGAACACAAGCTCTACCCAAAGAACCTGAGCATGACTGTGCTTCCTGAGGACTAAATGGGGCAAACAATGCGCCTCCTATCTGCGCGTTAGCCTGATTGGGGTTTGTTGGTCCAGAATCCTCAAAGACATCCGCTTCCATGATCATTGTACCACCTTGACTGACCTCCGCGGCTTGACCACTAGAGAAGGAAAAGTTTGATAAGTCTTCAATTGATCCTTTGAAGTCAGGTAGAGATCAAGAATTAAACTCACCGAGTTCCTGAATGGTAATTATTGAAACTATAGTGTAGTTGAAATCAAACCCCGTCAGCATGATTTACATTTATGAATTGAGAATTAGACGTATTGGGTTTCACCTATGCACAAAAACACGAGTATTTGCACCTACCCCAAGCTTAGGGGTACGACCTCCGGTGGACATGAAACAACTTTGATAAAGACCAGTGATATTCAGCAACATGGAGGAAAAGGCTCAAGAATCACCATAGTTTTAGTTCAGCGAGGAAACTCACTTGTCTGCTAACGTCATCTGGTCTCCTTGGCCACCCAAGATGATAGTCCAGTAATGTTGCCTATAAGATTAATGTTTTCTTCAATTTTTTTGCGGATGTGATTAAGATGTTGAGCTTATGTCTCGTGAAAACGTACCCGCGACAGTCAGTGGACCATGGACTCTTTCCAACAAAATGATTGGCCGACATGGTGATCCCAGCGTTTGGAAAGCTTCCACCAGCTGAGATCATTTGTCGTCCTATCAAGCTGATGGTGCAGTGATCGATCCAAACCTGTGAAACAGTTGTGCTGATCTCAACATACAGAATATGGCGTTTTGTTGAGTTGTAAGGCATTTGAGATTGTTTACTCACGTCCGTTGCCCCGTTGAATGTGATAGCATCGCCACCCCATACCTATCGCTCAAACGAATTTCAGATCCTTGTAGACAAAAAAGAAACAGGGACAAGAAAACTCACCGCGTGTGGGTTCAGGTATGTGATTGCGATATTCTATGTGTGGACGAAAGGGATTTTCATCAGCGCCTGATTTTCGTGCGGAAATTTGAGATAAGTGAATAAGTTGTCATTTCATAGAAAGACAAACTCGTATGATGATGTTTTTGCTAGGCTTGTTGATCACTAATCTGCTCAAATTCAAAAGATGATATCAGCCTGCAGGTTCCAAGCAGTGGGATGGAATGGTATAGGTTTGTGACTAACCCTTTGCCTTTGATCACACCTTTTGCACCAACTCCCAAGACTGACTTGTTGCTGCCTACCACCAGGGGAGTTATAGCCGCCTTTCGATAATTTACGGTCAGGCGCTGTTTTGAAATAATATCCAATTCAGCTGTATACTTACATTTCTTCATAGAGAGATGTCGATCTCACTCTTGCGTTCTTCTGCTGACCACACCACCCACCTAAATAAAGATAGTTATCATCAAATTAGATCAATCTTCTGTCGTTGAAGGAGGGTTCGTTTGACTTACGAAAATCAATGGCCACCTGTGCTTGAGCTCCATTTGAGCATTGTGGCCAAATTGAACTGCAAGTACATACACAATTGATTTGTCAATGATTAATCACCTAGCCGCACTTGGAAGAAAAAAAGACTCTACCATCCTGGTCCTGTAGTATTTCCTATGAGCAAAACAAAATGACAAGATCAATCGAGATTACAAAATCTTCGTGAAATGTTTGAAACTTACCTTCTGAATCAGTAAAATCAAAGAGTCTATCAATCAATATCACACGTGATGTGGCGTCCGATAACCAAGTTTTGAGTGTTTGAATATTAGGTGGAGCGGCGCCTTTAGCACTCCCACCACCTGTGACAGCTGCTGCGAATCCAACAGGTCTACCTGCGGATTTCGCTGGTGGTGGGCCTTGAGAAGCGACGGAGTGAATGATAAGAAAGAGATGAAGAAAAAGAGAAAAGACGGAATGACAACTTGAACTATATGACATAATTGACAATGAAAGCTAACTAACTAATTTACCGCAACTTGGAACAAAAAAAAGATGAGATTAGGTATTATAACACTTAAACAAAAGAGGAACTATTACAAAAGATAAAATCGACGAAAGGTGAAAGGCGTTTGTCAAAAAACGAAGAACGTATAGACTTGATGTCTTCAACAAACTACCACGCTCGGAGTACTGCCGAGTTTACCATAGTCAGTGTGAAGTCAACCTTGGCGATGACAAACCCTGGTGAGGCGATGCGAACTAGCAACATGATCAATCAAATTTGTAACGTCGCGGCAGCCTAGCTGAGGTCCAGACTGGTGATCCGTCGCGCGAGTCACTCTCCCCGGAGCAAAGCCTTATTCCCTGATAGATTACTGACGTAGATCTTGCCTCCCCTACATCACCTTCGTTATGTAGTTACCCCTCCATAACTTCATCCCCTTATCCTTTACATCTTTCCAGGCAAGCATCCGAGGTGCAGGTATGTAGAGACGGCTATCGGGTCCAGCAGCTTTGTATGTAGCGTTTCTTCTCTAGCAGACCATCTTCTCATGACTCTACCATGTCACACGATCTTCTGATTCATCTCAGGATTCGGAATGGCACAGTACAACAACCTATGGGCTCGGTTTGTATTACGCATCTTGACTCGCGAGCTATTTTGCACAAACATAATTGTCTCAGCGCGTAAATTGCCCATTTCGTTGATGAGTATTCAGCGGCCAAACACACGCTCGATTCATTTCAAATGATACGCAACAAAAACATCGTAACATCACTCCCAAAGTGAATGAGTGTAGACTACAACATTGGTACTTCCTTTTCCACTTCCTCTTCAAATAATTTGTACGGGCCACCCAATAGAAAAGAACTTACAATTCCCGTGGTTTGATGTCGGTCATATTTCTGTTCTTTTGTCAAATTTATTCTGTGACCACTAGCCTTCCCTTAAGGTGTTTTAGGTAAGAATAATGGATTTGGTTTTCCTCGTAAATTGATGCCCAGGGGGTTTGACTCGTAACATATCATCCTTTGGAGTCTCTATGTCTCAGGTCAAAGTTGCACTTTCTCATATTTTGCTCATCATATGTCACATCATCCCCTGATATCTCAGTCAACCTCTATAGCCTTACAATTTTATCATTCACTGATTTTTATGGATCAGGGAGTATCTTTGGAGTGATGCGCCTCCTGTGCTAGCATAGAAATGCTGACGTTCGGTTGATGAATTATTTTATCTTGCTCATATTGTGGTATTTGGTTGTTTCTCTCTTTCCTTGAAAAAATGAGATTATGTGACCAATGGAATTGTTGCTATATGAAGCGTCCTTCAGTAATAGAGCACGATAAAAATTACTTACCAAAAATTCAGAACAATGATCAATATAGCTGACAAGCCACTGCTATCCGTACTTCTAAGATACCGAGTAAGTATATATCCATTATTTTGTTGGTTGATTCTTTGTTGTTTACATATTACCAATGACTCATTTCACCAATTCAACACATCATCAGATTCAAGGCAAGTTCCCCTCTTTATTTGATGTATCTGAACTCCATCAGATTTGCTTGTGGGATAATGGCATATCAATCAAGTTGATTTTACAACTATATAAATCATCTTCTAATGGTAAAATAGAAAGGTAAAATCAAAACAAACAAAAAACGAATGAAATTCAAAAAAACAAAACTATTTCAAATCAAGAATGATATACAAACATTCAGAAAATATGTTCAAATCAAGCCAGCCTATTCCAAGTGATCACAAAGTTGAAAAAACGAAAATATTGAGATTCTTAATTAAGAGATTTTTCCTATACCGCATTGTGACATTTTGCGTGAAGCGATTGCTGAGGCTGGTTGTACATGTGCAGTTTTGACGGCTGGAAGGACCTAAATGATAGTGAACGATTTGAAAAAGTGACAGTAATGGTTCATAAGTGTTATTGCAAGTCAACAGAAGAGAAAAGGGACTCACTCTAGCGGCGTTCAATGCAGCAGGGTTGACATCAAATTTGAAAGGTGCTTTACCAGGAGGTGGCCTTGAGATGAGATTTGGCACACAAACCCTACCCAAAGCGCCTTGACATGCTTGTGCCTCCTGTGGCGTGAATGGTGCAAACAAGGCACCTCCTGTTTCTGTGAAAGCCTGATGAGGATCTGCTGGAGCGGTACGATCGAAGACATCTCCTTCAACAATTAAGGTCCCTCCGCGTGTGACCTCCACAGCCTGACCACTAAAGGATAAGAATGTTGATGAACGTCAATTTATTTTGTCAAGTGAGCTAGAGATCAAGAATACTCACAGAGTGGCGTCATGGTAATTATTGAAACTAAAGTGAAGTAAGAATCAAACTTTGTCAACATCATCTACATTGATAACAACTTATCTGATTGATTTTACCTATGTGAAAATACTCGGGTGTTTGCAACGGCTCCGAGCTTAGGGCTACGTCCTGAGGTTGATACATAGCAACTTCGATGTAGAGAAGTCTTGGTCAGCATCATGGGAAAGGATAGGACCTACATTGTGATTCGGCTGAAAGACTCACTTTTCTGCTAAGGTGATCTGGTCTCCTATGCCACCCAAGATGACAGTCCAGTAGTGTTGCCTAAAGTAATAACACGATTCAGTAACCTCTCCTTCACTCAATCCCGGTGGATCAAAATGTTGAGCTCGATGAAAAAAGGACGTACCCAAGACAGTCAGTTGACCATGGAGTCTTTCCGACAAAATGGTTGTTCGAGATTGTGATTCCAGAATTTGGGAAACTTCCACCGGTTGAGATCATTTGTCGTCCTATCAAGCTGAATGTACAGTGATCAATCCAAACCTTTGAAAGATTGTATTGATGTCAATCTTCAGAATTTATGTTGTTATTCACGTCAGAAGATATTCGGAAGAGTTGACTCACGTCGGTTGCCCCATTCAATGTGATAGAATCACCACCCCATACCTATTGGTCAAACTATTTTTAGATATCTTGTAGAGAAAAATCAAAAGGGATTGAAAGCTCACTGCAAATGGGTTCATGTCTGTAAAATGAATATTCTGTGAGGGGATGTAAGAGATGCTTATCAGCCTAGTATTTGGCAGTTAATTCAAGTGGATGGATGATCGTTTCATCGAAAACGCACCCGTATGATGACATTTCTGTCAGGCTTGTTGATCACCACTCTAAACAAATCACATCAGCTTCCACGCAGTGAGATGGAAGTCTAAAGGTCTGTGACTGACCCCTTGCCTCGTATCACACCTTTTGCACCGACTCCCAAGAGTGACTTGTTGCTGCCTATCACCAGGGGAGTCATAGCCGCCTTTCGATAATTGACAGTCAAGTGCTGTGTTAAAAAGAAAATTTTATTTAGTGGTATACTTACAAATCTTGATAAACGACTGCCATACTGACTCTTGCGTTCTTTTGCTGACCGCACCACCCACCTATAAATAGTTGTTTATCAAATCGAATCAATTCTTTATTCTTGGGAGATGCATGGTGAAATTTCTCTGACTTACGAAAATCAATGGCTACCTGTGTTAAAGCACCATTTGAACATTGAGGCCAAATTGAACTATAATCACCCGATTTCATTATCAATCAAATTTGACCAAGGCGGATCTTGAAGAAGAAGAAAAAACTTTACCATCCTGGCCCTGTCACATTTCCTGTAATTAAATGAAATTGAGAGGAGATGAGTTGAGTTAACAAAGATCTTGGATAAGATGTTGATAACGTACCCTCGGAATCAGCAAAGTCAAAGACTCTATCAATCAGAATCACACGTGGTACATGGTCCGCTAACCAAGCTTTGAGTTCTCCAATATTCGCTGGAGCGACCGGTCGAGCATTCCCACCACCGGTAACAGCTGCTCCGAACCCAACAGGCTTTCCTCCAGCAGAAACTGGAGAAAGTGAATGAGTGATAAGGAAGATGTGAAGAAAAAGAGAAAAGAAGAAATTCCAGATTGAAGTATTTAACATGATTGACAATCCAAACCAGACCGAATTTTAAACAAAGAAGAAAAAGTATGTCACTAGACAAAAGAGCGGCCTGTACTCTTGAATGTTCTCAACGAGTGAGTTCGAAAGGTAAGAATTGAAGAACGAAGAAAGGGCTTCGAAAATCTGGACAAAGTATAGGTTTAAATGATTGAAAGACTACCACGCTCGGGGTATTGCCCAGTTTATCATAGTCAACGTGAAGTGACTCTAACTATGACAAACCCTGATGAGGAAACGATGACGAGCAACGGGATCAATCATAGTATGTAGCGTCTTGGCAGCCTATGTAGTTGCAGTTCAAATGCTGGTGGTCTCTTGAATGAACTTGAGACTGAGCATGTGCAACGTCGGCATTACTGCTGAATCACTGATGCGAACCCTTTTTGACTTCCCCGATATAAGTTTAACCCTCCTTCCACTTTGGTATCCTGATATACCTTGTTCCTTGAATTTATAATATCTTCCAGCTATGTAAGCATCTGGGGTACACGCAGAGACGAGCATGTATCCCCACCATCAGCATTTTTAAGGCTTATGCGTGGCTAACAATTTGGTCATCGCTATAAAGAACAAGGCTCAGGGATGGTATGGCCCAATCCGCAATGATTACCCTGAGGATAAATTCCTTGCAAGACTCTAGTATTTTTTCCTTTTTTATCACAATGATTATGTGTCGCCCTTCTTGACCTCCTGGATTTCACTTTCTTCCTCTCAAAGAGGTATATACTGTGACGGCACGGGGTCTTGTGAGAGGGGCTCGGTTAAGCTTCGAGTTTAGGTGAGACAGAAAATGACTTTTTGGATCTTTCATGTTTTCGATGGCGAAAGACAACAGCTGATGGCATTCTGAAGAATGTATGATTAGACCGCATTCCCTTGTATCGATCCTCGCAGTATCATACCTATCCCCATGATAAAGATACATACATCATAATGCCAAGTCTGATAATAATATCGCAACAGTTTGACGGACGGGTCCAAGACTGAGAGGTTTCTAGGAATAAGTGAGGGTAAGTGGGCCCGAGTTGCTTCGGACGCCAAAGTGGCATCACTTTTACTCACAAGAACGGTTACGAAGGGATTGGCGCAAGTCCCTATTCTAGATTGGGTGTTAAACATGACAAAGTCCCTCCGGGACTGCCGGAGGAGGGTTTATACCAGGCCATGGTGAGCTCGGTAGGGTTGGGTGTCGGGATAAGTGTGATGCTGTCTGTCTCCGTCAACATCAGCTTTTAAAATTGGACTGGTTTTCTATGATACTTCACCTTTTTGAAAAACACGGTTTATCACAAGCAGATGAGACGAGTGAATATCTCAGAGTGCTCGTTTTACATAACGCAAAAAGTAAATCTCCCAAACAGTTTCTGGTCCAAAATTCAATCTTCCGAGTATCATTATTTCCCAACAACACGAGCAAAAAAACGATAAAAAATGAGAAACACTAAAACAGAAAAGATGTTGGCGTATAAAAAATGTTAATGAGAAATTTGGCAAAAGTGAAAAACATAAAACAAAAGAAGAAAATCAAAACTATGCAAAAAGTTATCAAGTATATACATCCCCAAAAAAACACAACACAATTTGTTCGAATCTTTGAAAAGTACCCAGATGAGCAACATAACACCAGATCATCTTACATAACCAACGTATCCTTGACCTATATTTTACCATGTATACAGTAACACAATGCAGCTATTTAAAGCAAAGAAACCTTGATCACTTAAAGAATGTGTTCCAGTAAACCGATTTCCCAAATCATCAACGAAGCTCGATCTTCAATTTCCAAGGATCATATCAAAATCCAAATCATTTCTAGTCATAGCATTTATTCCTCCAATATTCCAGATTCGTAATCCAGGACACCCCATGCAGTTTACCCATTTTTTTCTTCACTTTTACCTTTCCGTCGCTTGACCGCCGATGCAGGTTTAGACTCTGAGGTGACTTTGCCCTCGGCTTGCAAAATTTCCTTAGCTCCAGTCTCTACAGTGCCCGTATTATCAGCCTCCAAATTAGCCTTAGCCTTTTCCCGAGTCCGTCGAGCACTAGCTTCGGCCAACCTCACCGCAGCCTTAGCTAGAGCAGCTTTGATTTCTTCTTTACGTTGTGGATCAGTCACTGGCTTCTTCTTCGGTTCAGAACCAGATCGACCATGTAAATATTGCATTAGAGAAGTACCTAGCGCGCTAGTCACCATCATCAAAATCCAACCTGGTACTCGATCGGTGATATTGTGTAATCCACTGAACATCCTTCCAAATCCCTCAACAATCCATTCACTTGACAAGAAAAAAGTCACACAAGGAGTGAGAAGAGAGAAAGGAATAGGGGTCAGTTAAATCGAGTGATAAGTTAAGAGACAGAATCAACACATACTTTGATCCACCAGGTGAAAAGGTAGAATTCCAAACCGGTTTATAGGTCCATGTTTGTTCACGAATAAATTGAGCCAGATGATCAACAGGTGGAGGTGTTCCACCAATCTTAAAGAACCTTAATTCTTTTCCTCTTTTACCGATCACCACCATTACTGGACATCTAATCAAAAAAAAAATCAACCCATACAAAACAAGTTCAATATAAACATGTACTCCTGATTCTCCAAAATTCGAAAGAACAAAGAAAAACACAAACTTGAAAATGAGCCATTTAGTTAAGATTATATCGGTCTTTCCCATATAATCAATTCTACCAAACCTAAAATTAGTAGGAAATAAAAATGGATCATCTGGAGAAAGTTGTACTACTGAGATTTGATCTTCTCGAATCTTAGGAGGTGGAGGATAAACAGCTTGTGATGAATTAAGAGCAGTTTGATCAAATGTATCATCAAAGACCGATGAAATTCGATCGTTTGCTGAACTAAAGATTTCCTCAATCAAGCGTTTGTTTGAATTTGTTTGAAAATCAGTCTTTGGATTTCCAAAGCGTTGCTGATCTAGGAAAGAAATCAACCTACACAACTATAATCCAAATCGTTTCATCATCACTACCCCAACCTGGTTGAATCAAATCTAGTTCAGATCCAATCACATCTTCATAATTTTCATCATTGATCGAAACCACAAATGGATGAGGTGGACGAGGAGTGATTTCTCCTGTGATTTTGGCCACCACCGTATCATTCCATCCTGTGATTTTTTGAATCACTTTAGCCGTTAGACCTGTAGCTTTTGGAGGACTTTGTAAGATTGTTGAATCTGGTTCGATTGATGGTTCATCGAATTTTAAAACATGTTGTTGATTTGATCCTAAGATGGGTGAGATGAATAAGATTAGAATCTTGAAGTTGAAGATGATGAGAAGTTTGAATGAGTTCATCTTGATTATCTGAATAGCTCAGCAGAACACTCGCACTGTCACCAGAGAACACCACTCGAAGCCTTGAACAGTGAGTAGTGAGAGGGCACGGTACCGGATCAATCACCTGTAATCCCATATGTCATCCATAGTAAAGCCATCCATTTTTGACAATTTTGGTTGATCGAGTTGAGAATTTTTCAATTTCTTCAACTTCAACTTTAACCATCTCAACTTCCAACAACATGCCAACCAAATCAAACAATACTAAAAAAGTAAATGAATTCCTATTCGACACACCTGGATGGTCAGTCACTTCATCATCCAATCTAACATCATCAAACAAACCCAAACCATCCAAGAAAAACAAATCATCAACCAAAGAACTCATTCCATCAAACCAATCAACTTCAAACCAAGACATAGAGAAACCCACAAAGAAAAGAAAATCAAATCCAACAAGACTTACAAAAAAAGAAACAGAACCAGAAAAGAAGCAACCTATTCAAGAAAACACTCTATCATCATCTTCAAATGCATTAGTACAAAACTTAATGTCATCAACTCTAAGTGGATCAAGATTCCGAATCCTAAATGAAACACTATATACGACCACTGGACCAGAAGCAGCACAATTATTTTCAAATGAAAATGAAAATGAAATCGGATCTACAAGTCAACAAACCAATCCGAATTTCTTAGCATATCATGAAGGTTTCCGACACCAAACCCAAAACTGGCCAGAAAATCCTGTTAACATAATAGCTCATCAATTAAAGAAAGAGTATGAAACTTTTTCACAAGGTTTAGTGATCGTAGCCGATTTAGGATGTGGTGAAGCTCCATTAGCTAAACTTTTATGTGGTGAAAGATCAATTCAAAAAACAGATGAAGAAGAAGAAGAGGAGGAGGAGGAGGAGGAGGATCAAAAACGAAACAAACGATTGAAAGTTGATCAGAAAGTTAGGTTTAGAGTCATGAGTTATGATCTTGTAACAGATAGAGATGGATGGGTAATCGCTGCTGAATGTTCAACAAAGGTACGGTTCTTTGTTTTGACTTGAATCTTCTTTCTTCCATTTTCCATTTCTTTCTTCCAAATCAATCCAATTTGAGCTGATTGATTTGATTATTTTTTTCTATAGGTTCCTTTACCTGGTTGTCAATCAGATACAGTAGATAATGCGATGGTAGATGTAGTTGTTTGTTGTTTAAGTTTAATGGGTACTAATTGGGTAGGAATGATTCTAGAAGCTCGTAGGATTTTAAAACAAGGGTAAGTGATCCTCAATCAACACATTCATCAAGTCCCGGTCGACTCATTCATCTTGATTTTGACTTGTATCTATTTCATCATCATCATCAATTTTTTTGTTGGATCAAAGTGGTCAATTAAAAATTGCAGAAGTCACCAGTAGGTTTGTAGATATCAACAAATTCATAGATTTTATAAAACTAATAGGTTTCTCAACACCAACTCAAGTAAGCACCCAACTTTTAACCAAACATCCTTCCGAATCCCAAACCACTGCCCTTCCTTCCCTCATCCCCTACGCCAAAATTTAAAGTAATTCATTTGATCTCATTTTGTTTTGTATTTTTTTTTCTTTCGATTAGGATCAATCAAATACACATTTCATTTTATTCGAATTTAAAAAATCGATTCGAAAAAATCCAATCCAATTAAACATGAATCATATTTATGATCAACCAAATGAACTTGATCATTTAATTAAACGTGGTGAAAAGTTATTAAAGCCTTGTATTTATAAACGTAGATAAAGATTTAACATGAGTGTTTACACCATATGTTTTTTTTCAAAATCATCATTTTATTCGCATTCTGAAGAAATGTGAGCATACCTATTGATCTTTGTGTATACATAGTCATCGGAATTTAACCTTTGCTTTCGTATGTGAACGGATAATTTATAACATAAGTAAAAGTTCATGAGGGTTTTTGTCTTACAGAAACATAAACTGGGGAATCAAACGTTGAATAAAAGTTTTGGAAATTCATCTTTGATAGAAAGAATGTATCGAAGATTGACTTTGGACTATAAACTCATTCAAAATTAGAACTCTGAAAGACTGAAAGTAGATTGTGTTTTGTTGTGATACACTGGTATACATACTCCTGAATCTAATCATGATCGAAATCAAGATTCTTGATCTCACAAGTACAAGACCAAAGCATACCTTTGCTGAGTAAGATCACTTTTTTTTAGTCCAAGTGGATGATGAGAAACCATTTACAATATTTGAACAGATATACTACATAGTACCTTATTATAAGTAGTTTGAGTATATTTGCAAGAAATCTTTCTGAGAAAGAGTTTGATGATGAGGTTTAAATTAATGTAGTTTAGTAAAATGTATTGTGAGAGTGTATTTTAAGAAAATCTAGTTTACCAATCTTGAGACTTGTTGACTGTTGATCAAGTTTTTTTTTGATTACCATACCATCTTATCCTATCCTATCACTCTTCTCATTCTCATTCTCATTCTCATCAAGAAAACGTTCCAACCCATCAACCCTACGTCTTTACCTCTTTTGGGATGTCATGGCTTGGAAGAGCAATCAGTTCAGTAGGTCAATATTATAAAGAAATCAATCCAGCTACTCTTTCAGGGGCCATCGATGTGATCGTAGTATCCAACAAACGTACAACATCATCATCTGATAATAACTCAAATGAAGAAGAAAATGAAACGACGATTATTGAAGATCTAGCTTGTTCTCCTTGGCATGTTAGATTTGGAAAATTAAGTGTACTTCGACCAGTGGAAAGAAAAGTAATCTTTACCTTTCTATATTCATTTGATTTGATTAAAACTTTAAATACTTTTAGTCTGTTCCATTTTCTTGGGCAAACTTTTTAAGAAAGAAAGAAAATCATTAATCAATAAGATACTGAGATGAACTCTTTTTTGCTATTTGTCTTGGTTGTTTAGGTTAGGATTTTGATTAATAATCAACCTGCTCCATTCAGTATGAAGATTGGTGAAACCGGAGAAGCTTTCTTTGTCTTTGAGACTGATGTTGAAGATTTACCAGATGATTTACAAACATCTCCATTGGTTTCACCTTGCTTGGAATCAGTAGAGACTACTTCAAAACGTGATCCTACCTCAAGCAATCTTGAAGTAGTACCTGACTTTAATGACCTTGGTGAAAGTGAACTTGCTACCGATCCTAGTCAAGAATGGCCAACAGAATGTAACGAAAAGATACAGGACTCTTGTGAATCTGATCTTCTGTCATCAGCTGAAAAGACTCGGAAGAATTCGGAACTAGAGAAATCATCTCAAACATCACAAGAACTCAATTCGAATCACATTGACGAAATTCAGACTTCCTCTGAATTACCTCGAGAGGCAGATCAATCACCTGGTACGGAGAATGTACTACCTATCATGACTCTTTTAATTGACACGGATCGAACCGGCCCTGCATCTCCTCATGAAGATGGTGACGAATCAAGACAAGCAGCTCGAGCGCAAGACCCACATCCATTAATTTCACAAATCTCACCTACTTCTCAAATCTCATCTGAAGCTGAACTTCATACTGCTTTACCACACCATCTTCATCATGGTACAAATCTACCACCTGGAGATTTAATGTTAGATATGGACGGATATAAAATGACAGAGGATACTGAAGATGATCTCTCACGTACCAATACCGTATCTCACTTTACGATGCAAGAGAAGACTAGTCCTTCGAAATCATTTGATCTGAAACCCCCCTCATGTCCTACACCTGCCACCGGGATAATCTGTCCGGGAGATGAGCTGACAAATGTAAAAGAAGAAGACGTCATGGAATTCACAAAGGCCCTCCTAACTTGTTCAGAACGGATCAATAATCAACTCGCTCCTACTCCTAATCAAGATCTCAGTGGTGATCAGATTGATCATAATGTGGCAGTCATCATGGACTCACTCCAGAAAGAACCCGTGAATCAATCATCTGATAAGCCTCAACTTGCCGACAACCTTCAATCTGATCATAACTCGGATTGTATTATCCATGTGGAGAGAATCGAAGGCACTGATGGCGTTCGTACATATGACCGGTTTAAACTTGAATCCAATGGCACCTTTCACGTCTTTGAAATCTCTTTCTATAGCTCTTCATTTGATGGAAAGCTTGAATCAGCCTCACACCACCATCATCATCACTCTATTCGACCACAATCGTTTGATCCTCAACAATTTAATCAGAATAGAATGTGTTTTGAAGATTATTTTACTACATCTGATTTAAAAGATTCAATTTTAGATCAAGAAGCGAATTTGATTATCAAATATAATGAGCTTTCAATCTTGACTTGGGATAATGCTAGTACTGCTCTTACTTCACTTGGAATTTATCGAAAGTCAATCTTGAGCTTAAGTCAAACTAAAACATTACGATTGAGTAATGGCGCTGTACGGATAGTTGATCAAAGTTCAACTGATTCCATGATAATTTCAAATGACCCAACGATCACTTTGTCGGATCAAACCCTTGTCGGTGAAACCTCAACAGAATCATCAGCTCAAGCTACTTACCCATCTCAATCAGACAAACCTACGACTATCATCTCACCTGTTGCTCCGAGTTATACTCGACCTTGGTCAAGATGGTGGTATAAGAATGATCAATTGTCATCAACTCAAACTCATCATGTTCGACATCATTCAGAAGTAGCATTTACTTCAAATAATGAACAATTAGGTCCAGATGAAGATAAACTTAGATCTCACTCAAGTGCAAATAGTTCTCCATCTGGTTCACCCAGATCATTACCAGCTCAATTAGAGGTAGATCGATCGCGTGAGAATGAAGTGAGTACTTTGTTAATCAAATGGTTTTCTGACTCCACTTACTCTCTATCCTTGGTTACTCTCTCCTTCTAGGCTGGTCAAAAGACTGATAAGCGAAGATCGACCTCGGCTGAAGGCAAACCACGACAGGAAGCCACTAAAAATGAAAGCCCTACCACTCCTACTACACCACCACCAGAAGCACGCAAGCATTATGCCAAAACCCTTAGACTTACATCTGACCAATTGGTAAGTAAAGCAATCTCATCTACTTTTCCGATCAACTAGAGATAGTTTTTAGACTGAAATGTAATCCAAATGGGTAAAACAAAACTAAAGATGTTGCCTAAAACTATGATCGTTTTTTTTTCTTGTAGAAACAACTTGGATTAAAAAAAGGAATGAATCAAGTCTCCTTTTCAGTTAGATCATCATACTCAGGTTATGCAGTTTGTACCTCTCGAATCTTCTTATGGGAATCAGATTATAAAATCTGTATTTCAGATATAGATGGAACCATCACCAAATCAGATGCACTTGGACATGTTTTCACGATGATCGGTCGAGATTGGACTCATGCTGGTGTAGCTAAATTGTATACTGATATAGCGAAGAATGGTTATAAACTTATGTATTTGACTTCTAGAGCTATTGGTCAAGCTGATACTACTCGTGAGTACCTTAAAGGGATTAATCAGTTAGGGTATACTTTACCGGATGGACCTGTGATTATGAGTCCGGATCGATTGATGACTAGTCTTCATAGGTATGTCATCTCGGATCCAAAAAATATGGACGATTTCTCCTTGTTTGGCATTGAAGCTCAACTTTATGTTTTTCTTTCTTGGTGAAATCGAATGGGAATTTTAGAGAAGTGATTATGAGAAAACCAGAAGTTTTCAAAATGGCCTGTCTCAGGGATATTCAAAGATTATTTGGAAAACCCAATCGAAAACCGTTTTACGCAGGATTTGGAAATCGAATCACAGATGCACTTTCATATAGAACGGTTGAAATTCCATCATCTAGAATCTTTACCATCGATTCGAATGGAGAAGTGAAGATGGAATTATTAGAATTAACAGGATATAAATCATCGTATATCCATATGACCGATTTAGTGGATCAAATGTTTCCACCGATCAATCGATCATCTAATTCATTACCCGAGTTTACGGATTTTAATTTTTGGAGATCAGATCCAAGTTCAGGAACGATTTTAAATGAAGTGGATTTAGAAGAATTACTTTCACCTAATTTTGGAAATCCAAATCAATCGAATCAATCTATACCCATCAGTCCAGCCTTAAGTGCCAGAAGTTATGAATCTGGACCAACAGCTGTTAGTAGATTAAGTTTTAGATTAGCCAGTAGTTTATCATTAGGACGGAAATCATCTAAGATCGAATTAAATGTTTCACAACCCAAACGTACTTCTACAAGTCGAGATGATTCACCTGGACCATACTTAGGATCACATAAGAAAAGATTAGAATCAGATGTAGGAAGTATTAGAAGTTTTGAAACTGTGATGGAAGAAGAAAGCGATGAGAGTCTGAGACATCATCAAGTACCTAATAGGATGAGAAGTGATTCGATGCCAGGTAGTTTACCTGGTAGTTTAGAAGAACAAAGCTTATTAGAAGGATTAAGGAATCATAATGAATCATTTGAAATTAATCCAAGAAGGAATCCTTTAAAATTGATGGGTAAAGGAAATCTTGAATCGAGAAAAGAAGGTGAACCAACAGAAGAAGATGGAGAAGATGAAGGAGAAGAAGAGAATGTTGAGGAAGATGACGATTTTCCTCAGATGGACTTTAGTGCTGTTCCTGTAAGTGATCCAATCTTTTTTGATGTCTTGAAAAACTTGAACTGAGTTTGAAATCTTGATTTGTTTCTTCATATATCATATCCTTATTGTCTGTAGTATCTTTAAATAAGATTTGATTCAACTTGTTACGTTTTCTTTTTGATGAGAGATGAAAGTCAAAAGAAAGTTGTACAAGATGGGTTTGGTGAAAGACTGAATGATGTGATGTTTTGTGATGTTCTGTTTGATTGATTGGTTGGTTGTTCTGTCTTTTTTTTCCTTCACTTTTTTGAACAATGTATTAATTTTCTTTTTCAAGTTATAACCTATTTTTTTTTTGTTGATTACTTATGTAATTAATCATGTACAACAAGTTTTTTTTTGGCTTTTTACAAATTTCTTTATCTTTTTTTTGATGTTAGTTTTTTCTTATAGCTTTTGTATATAATCCTATATATCTCTATAATGAAATTGAATGTGAAAATGAATATAAATTAGCAAAGGTTTAGGTTTGTCATCCATTTTTTCTGTTGTGTTCAATGGTACTGCACATAATATAATCAATAGTCAATTCTTAAAAAACTTGAGTGATTTTGTTTACAAAACTTCAGTATTAAACTGGTGTTGAATGAATCAATGCTCAAAAATAATAAATTAGAAAACCATTTCCACTATTCATTTGTGGGATACAAAGTTAAATCTGGGATTTTTTTCACAGTTTCCCAGTTTTTGTTTTTGGCTGTGTTTTGAAAACTGGGAAACTGGGAAAGAACTCCCAGTTTTAAATTTCTATCCCATAATTCACTTCAAAATCCTGAAAATATTGACTTCTCACCCACCCAAGCTTTAAGTATATATCTGTTTGTAGAAAACCTGTTTACAAACTCAGTTTAGTGATCAAAGAAAAACTTATTACATAATCAATTTTATTTGTAATTTTTTTAGAAATTTCTTTTGTCAAGTAAGACCGGGACTGACATGTCAGTCCCACAGAACTCTTATAATTTTTTCTCAATTCTTCAAGTTCACTTTTGTTCTTCATTCATGCTCTATTAGAACATGCTGATCAAGCACGCCTCTGTGGCTGTTTAGCGTGAACCAAGATACAACAAGTATCCAGACCTAAGAGCCATTCCCACTTGAGGGACTTTGGTAGGTTAGTTCCCACTTCATCATTGTTGGATGGTGGATATCCAAAACTATCTAACTTGTTAAATCAAAGATACTTTGGTTTCAAGATCTGACACCAAGATTTAAATGGTTTTGAGAAAAGTGAAGATGAAATTCACAGAGTAACCATGGTTGGTCAGGTGTCTATACCTGTCTACCCAGAACTAGAATTACATATCAGAATCAAAGGGACTTTCTTTGAATATCTGACACTGAAGATATTTGAATTCTTTCAAAAAAATGGAGACTGAAATTCACGTGATTCTATGTAGGTTTCACTTGATTCATTGCTCAATGTGATATTTTGATTTGGCGGGGTGAGGGTCAAAAGATGAATTTTGAGAGATTTTCCTGATTACTGAAGTTTTTGATCATATAATTCCATGTCTTTTATTCACCATTAAGTCCAATCAGCTTTCCAAGGATCTAACTCAAATAAATCACAATAAAAAAAATTCTCAATACTTTTCAAAACTTTAAACCAATCACAAGCTCTAAACATTAAACTTTCATCTTCATTATGATGAAGAATATCAAAGATATCAATTTCTAGCACTTTGATGTGAAGTAAATCACTCAGGCTGCTTCATTGGCCATTTCCACACTTTTTCTACCAGCTTCAAAACCACAGATATGAAAAATCAAGAGTCAAAAAACAGCAGGCCAGGAAGATTTATTTCCAAAACAGCTGTATACATAATGAATACCACAACAGCTTGCGCTGCTGATTACTCTTCTAAAAGAAGAGCCACTCACAAACTCCCAAGTCCCCGTCTGCCATTGGTGAGCCAAGGAATCACCAGCACCTTGGCACTCATCCAAGCCTTGTCATCAACATCTCTGCCCATCTCAAGCCAGCAGGAGATTTGTGACAATCAAGCACACTGTTGAACTGATCCCTGTGAAATGAAGTGTAAACTCAAGAAATTCCTATGATGTTTCAAACAGCCTGAGCCATCCAGAGACTTACAACTGACTCACACAAATTTAAACTCAGAGTTCAGACTAATTTGTTTCCTTTCATACCTTTTTCCCTACCAAGAAAGTGTATATAGATCAAAAGCAAAAGTTGTATCTTGCAAGGGATGTACACTGATTTTTTTTATGAGTCGATTCCCTGTGATCCAAAATTTGTTTTAGAGATTGGGTGTCAGCAGCAAATCTGGACTTGAGAAGGTAATTACAAATGTATGAAATTTACAGTGAAGAGCTCAACTTTGAGATCATTTCTAAGCAAGAGGGGCTCATCATGAGAAAATAAAGGTTTGAAATCTGCATATGATATAAGTGCTGAATTTATTTTTTGGTCCACATAGGAAGCAGAGAATTCGAAGGGCGAATAAACTACGCGAGCGTTGTCGAGCCGAGTACAGGTGAGTATGGGCTAGCACTACTTTGGGAAACGCTCATCTTTGACAGAGTCACACGTTACAAAAATGGAAGTCGTGCAAAATTGTCATACCAATTTGAGACAGATGTATGACACTTTCAAATCACACGATCTGATGGTCAGACCCATATTGACCCATATCTATTATCGATCAATCAAACCAAACCCATAATGATTTCCATTACTCCAGACTTACACAGAGAGTCCTCACAATAAGGAAGAGTGTGAGGATGATTAGCCGTACGCGTTTTGCATTCAATTAAATTAGGCTGTGAGAAACACAACGCGCCACCCCGTGCGTGCTCCTATCAGGAAGCAGAAAGCTCGAAAGAACAAAAAATGGACTGTTCTATATAAGATATCAGCCGGGCATATATGATGATACCAAGTTTTACTTTTTCATCAAAAATCTTCTATATTATCGCTTTTACATCCTCGTCAACATAAGCAACATGCTCCTCCGCTCACTGGTTGACCAGCTATCTACGTTAGACCCCACCACGTACGCAACACTAACACTAGGTCAACTCATCACATTTACAACACTTTCTGCAGAATTTTTAAAGAGAACAGATGGTGTATATGGCACCGGACCAACGCAAGTGCCAATTGAATTCCTGACAAACTGTCTTGACTCAGCTCAGCCCAGCAGTACATGGGCATCATTGTGGTATTTCACACTTGATAGCCTGCCCTCGTGCCTCTACAATGCAACGCACTTCCCATTGCACGGAATTCCATCAACGAAAAGACCCAAAGGAGCGCTTGTGATACCTGAACACACATTTCAACCACCAACAAAACACTGCTTTTCGTGTAAATCTAAAGGTGGCAACCCCATTCACCTACAGATGCGACGCCAACTATATGGCTATCTATTTGATATCAATGGTATTGAAACTGTGCAAACTATTTCGAGTTACTGCCATAGTGAGTCTCAATACAATCAATATAGTATAATGTGTTAAATTTTTGCTGATGACAGTCTTTAGAATGCCATTCCACGTATACCCCTTGTTATGTTCGCCGCAACAAGCATCGTGAATACTACACACCAGCCGAAGGCCAGCCACCAGAGTTCTTCCAAGTCACCCAACACTTTTTCATGAGTCACAAGCTCTGTGACTACTTCAGTAACATTCAAAGCTCGGCAGTGTAAGTAATCCTCACCTGAACTTACTTTGATGATATCTAACGAGTTGTATATCTATGACAGGGTATCTGTACATAATCTTACACTTTCCTACAACAAAACAAACGCTAAAGCCAACACGACGTACACAAATGATTTTCAAAAAAATCGATTTAAAAGAAGTCTCAGTGAGAATGTGTGCTCTCTAGCATTAGACATTCACCGATTGTTGAGATTGACCAACGAACGTGGTATTCGATTGAAGAGCGATTCCACGGGCTCTGATGACCGGCGATTTCTGGAAGCTATGAAGCGACACAAAAGGTGGGTACAAGAGGAGGGAACGATATATAAAGCACATGTTTGCTCTTTATGTACTGATTATCAACCAATAGCAGGAACACCAGACGCCAAAAGTAAGTATTATATTGTTTTGACTCATCGGTGATGGGACATATTTTCCCATTTGTGCTGACCATCTCTTCCTTTTACATTCAGTTATCCGCTCGGTAGTCACAGATGGCGTTACAGTTGGTCACTGGTGTTGCAGCGCATCTGAAACCCAATTGAAAATGCTCAATCCGCATAGCCCGCTCAATTACTGCGATCAACCTCTTGAGAAGGTTAACGATCGATTCTGCCCAGCTCACAAGATCACTCTTGGAAACCTCTGCTGTTGTCAGCCTTGTATGTTACCAAAAGAACATGGTAAGGATACATGTTCTGATCCTGAACACGCCGCTGCACACCAGGCTTTCAAAGAACGAAATGGCGCTTTCTTTGGTCTGCCCAGACGCTACAATCGAACGAATACTCGCATTGCTCTTGACCCTAGTGTGATGCTATCCGCCGAAACAGGAGAAGTCAAGATGACGGACGAAGATCTTATGTATGCCGAAGTTGAGGAGAGAGAGCACGAGGGGGCTCGCGATGGGGGTGAAGGGAATATACCGTCAATCATGATATCTCGTTGCAAGACTCACAACGAACAGTTGATGGTGTCAACTTGCGGTGTTATAATGGCTCGAAAGACATTCTACAAATCCGAGTCTGTCACCAAAGTCAAAGTGATTTATCAAGCGAAGATTCTGGGTTTTTATATTTACTCATTTGCTTTGTAACAGGAATGGATTCAAGAGGTATTCCCTGACGAGATGCCTCAAGTCATATTCTATGATAACGCATGTGGTTTGCATGCTCACATCCGAATGAGTGAGGAAGACACTCATGCTTTTCGAAACACCATTTTACCGGTGGATGCTTTCCATATAAAGTCTCACAAAACTACTCATACAACTTGTCGTGTCAACAATGATCCTGCGATTTTTCCTCAACTCAAGCGACCTGATGGGAGTTGGCGTTTCAACTCCTCCGCTGCCGAGATTGTCAACGCTTGGTTTGGCCGGTTCGCCTCAATATGTCGCAACATGAGTT